ATCATCTAGACAACAATTCATCATCAGACATCAAGTCGATAATTCCCTCTCCTAGATGTGTCCTCTTTTTCTAGCTCTTCTTTGATTATATTCATTGCTTTCGTGGTTGGTATAGATATTCTACATCTAAACTAATGGGACGTTCCTCCAGCTAGAGATTGATGATTTTTCCTATATTTCCGAAATACTTGGAAGCCTTCACAAATGAAATGGTGTTGTTTGGTAGCGGTTCAGTTATTAGCAGAAGGAAACATACTATTTCTACCTTATCTGTTAAACAAGTCGATAATTTTTGACTGCTTTTTCGTGCGCTGCTTTATCTGCATTGGCATATGACTTCTTCCTTCGCGATTTTGAATTTCGAAGTCTTGACTTTGTAGTTTCCTTAAATCTGACCAACGGGTGACTTGACTATGAATTTTTATAATTTAGCAGCCACTGCAACGTAGGTAGGAACTCGAATTTCCTTCCATAGAGAAAACTGTGGTAATGCTCAATGGATCCACCACTGGCTGGCTTGAGTCTCAGAGAACGAGTGAAGAACGAAGAGATACGACGAACCTATATGACCAATGTTTTGACTTTATCGCGAGAGCAAAATAGAAATGAACCGGAAATGTTTCTACATTGGGGGATGGTAGATGGAAAAGAAATCTGCTCGAATGGAGTTTACGAGCCGACAAGCGGAATAGATGCCGACCGCCTAGCACTAACCTGCAGCATTCTCTTGTCTCATCAAGTTTTGAAGTGAAATTTCGAGAGAAAATTGGTATATCGTCTCGTCAAGACTAGACGAGAGATGTCAATTTCTCGTCTCGAAAGCATCACTAAGGGCAGTAGCAATTCATCTACTCCGCTTTTCAGCTCGTGAACTCCATTCGAGCAGATTTCTTTCCCGTCTACCATCCCCCAAGATAGAAACATATCCGGTCCATTTCAATTTTGCTCTCGCGATCAAGCTATACCTAATATTGGTCATATCGGTCCTTCGTATCTGTTCATCCTTCACTCGTTCTCTGAGACTCAAGCCAACCGTTTATCCAAATTTATCTTGCCATTTGGGCACTTTGTTTTCTTGCCGAGTGAAATTCTCGAATGTCTTCCTCTTCAAGCTCACGGAAATTTCTGTCTTGAAAGCGTCTTTCATTTTCCCGATTGCCGCCCATCCTCAAGGTAATTATTTCTTTGCAGGCAGAGAGAAAATATTGTGCCACTCGAAAGGAGCTTCTGGCAGTGGTTAGATCCATCAAGCATTACCACAGTTTTCTCTATGAAAGGAAGTTCCTATTTGGAAGCTACAGACCTTGCAGAAGCTGCTGAATTTTGAAAACTCGGAAGGCCAAGTTGCCCGTTGGTTAGAAATCGAGAAACTACAAAGTCAAGAGTTCCAAATTAAACATCACGAAGGAAGAAGTCTTGCCTGCTAATAATGCCGATAACCTATCTCGAAAAAGCAGTAAAAAAATGTGGTCTTGTTTGACAGATAAGAGCTGAGTATACCAAAACTAATATTATTGACGACCTCACCAATGAAGATTCTAAGAAAAAATAAATGCAACTATTGCTAACGGTAAAGGCAAACCTACTGGCTCCAGTCAGATTTGTGCCTGTGAGATTTCCCAATTATTCGTGGATAGGAGTGCTACGTGAACTGCACATCAGTAGTCGGAGTGGCAGTCACTTTGAAGTCAATAGGACGTTGGCTCCAGTAACAGCTTGGTATCACTGAATCAAATGTCGTGAGAATCGTGCAGAATGGTGCAATGCAAATCATGCGACCTCGTGGTCCGAAAAAGAGACCTTAGACTGGGTCTCAAGCAAAAACGAAGCAGTACTTGTCTGGTTTCCCCCTATGAGAGAATTGCATTGTGGGTCATTTTCTTACCATCGATTCAGGGGAAAAGTACCTTATGGTTGCTATGGAATATTTCTCTAAGTGACCAGAAGTAGTTCCAATTCCAAGCTGTGACAGTTGAAAAATATCATTGCCAGACACGGGGTTCGATGGAACTTTATACTAATCAGGAGGGAAATTTAAAGTTTTAGGTATGGAAACAACTGATGCGATTACTGGGAATCAGGAAGAGGATAACGATTTCACTTCATCCGCAGTCCGACGGAATGACCAAGAGGTATAACCGGCCCATTAATCAATACCTGTTGATGATTGCGGATGAGCACTAGGAAAACTGGGTCAAAATAGCATAAAAGCTCTCAGCAAAAATCAACCGGTTTTGCGCCATCTATGCTGTTAACTGGAAACGAAATGAAGGATCCCATAGATCTAATATATGGCATACCACACATAGCTGATCTCTAGGCTCAGAGAAGTATATGACTTTACCAGAAAGAGATTACGTCATTGCGTATGAGCAGCGATAGAATGGAAATGAATCTTGATACACTCTAGCCATTGAACACCGTTAGTAAATGCGAAAACTTAAAATTACAAAGTGTTTGGAAACGGCCATGCAGGATCTTTACATGGAAAGCCAATGCCAGAGGTTGTGCAGGTAGAAAGGGGCTTAAATGGGAGGCAGGGCATAAAGGAATTGAAGGAAATGAAAAAGCAGATGCTTTGGCATGAGAAGGATCAGCAGCCAGTGGCGTCCCGAACGTTTTGGCAAGATAAAAAAGTACGTAAATGTCCAATATTTTCCGAACCTATTATTATGTAATATTACATTTTTATCCATTTTATTTGAGGAGCAAGAATACATTTTTGCATTTTCTTGATCTTGAGCCCAAAATTAACCTACTATGCATCTAAACTGATGAGAGACGAGACGAGAGAAGAGCTCTCTTGTCTCGTATGGAGGGTCTCTCGTCGAGACAAAAACCTTCGAGAGAAAACGAGAGAGAGCAAATTTTCGTCTCGTCTCGCGGCATCACTATAGCTGCCCTGAAAAGACAAACGACCTGAGAAGTCCTTTATGTCCAGCAGCGGACCCAGTGTCCAGGGAGGCTGCGCGATGATGATGATGATGATGGAAATAATCAATAATTAGATATATAGAAATAAATACAAGGAAATTTTTTTTTTTTTTTTACGGATATGCGCACTCGCAAGGAAATGTCCTATCACGCTCGAGAAGCGGCAAGTGCGCGGAAATGTCGGTGTATGTTGGTCTTGAAACGGTTCAGGTTGTAACCTGCAGGGAAAACCGTCGCAGGGAGTTTATTCCACAGCGATGCTGTTCTCCAGAGATATGAATTCTGATATAATGAGGTTCTTGGTGCCTCTAGTTTGACAGTAAATTCATGGTTACCGTCTGTTTGACGGGTTCGCGTGGTAGGCGCTACTCTCGGTGGAATCATACGTGCCAACTCTTCAGAGAATTTTCCGTGATAGTACCTGTAGAAGAGAGATAAATCGCCCACAGATCTGCGATGTTCGAGACCATCCAAGTTACGAGTAAGTGCGGGGTCATTGATCAGCTTGATAGCTCGTTTTTGCACGGTGTTCAAAAGCATTAAGGTATGTTTGGGTGCTGCACTCCATATATGTGAGCAGTACTCCATAGTTGGTCGAATCTGGGCTTTGTAGAGTGTCAGCAATTGGCTTGGTGTGTACAGATGTCTTGTACGAAATAGCACCCCCAGCTTTTGGGACGCCCTTTTAGCAATATCTGCCACGTGATTGTGCCAAGACATGTTGGTCTCTGCAGTAACCCCCAAGATGTTCAACTGACTCTGTAATGTGACAGCACTTCCAGATAGCATGATGTTTGGCTCACCGGTGCTGGTCTTTTTTGAAAACAGAGCTGCTTGGGTTTTCTGCGCGTTGAACTGTACAAGGTTTTTGTTACCCCAGTCCTCTATTATCTCCAGGTCGTTATTTATCTGCGATATTTGAGTTAGTCTAAGATGATGGAATTCACGTGCGGAAAGACCTGTGGGTGGTATGAGTGAGGAGACTACATTGCCATCGTCTGCAAAGCAATAAAGTGGATTTACTGTTTTATCTATGAGGTCATTTATGTAAATCAGAAAAAGAGTTGGCGAAAGGATTGCTCCCTGTGGCACACCAGCATTTATTTGGTAAGAGTTGGAGTTCTGGCCATCCAGTGCAACATAAATGGATCTGTCCTTTAGGTAACTTTCAAACCAAGTGCAAAGTTTCGGCGATAATCCCATTGCTTTGAGCTTGTTGAGCAGATTTTCATGCCAAACTTTGTCGAATGCTTTAGATATATCTAAGGCAATCGTGCTTGTTTCACCCCGCAACTCAATCGCTTTTTGCCATAAGTGAGTGACGTATGTAAGTAAATCGCCAGTTGACCTATATTTTCGAAATCCGTATTGCTTATCGTTGATAATTTTGTACTTTTCCAAGTACTTGATTAGGTGATTGTTCACAACTCTTTCCATTACTTTTGATATCACCGGAAGTAGAGCAATTGGTCTATAGTTTAACGGATCTGTCTTTTTTCCTTTCTTTGGAATGGGTTGTACTGCGGCAGACTTCCATGATGATGGATATACTCCTTGCCTGTAAGACAAATTGAATAAATTTGCGAAAGTTGGGGTGAGTTCGTTGGCGCAATTTTTGAGTACTATTGCGGGAATGCCATCCGGACCCATTGCTTTGTTTGTATCTAGCTTTTTAAGGGATTTTTGGTTGGATTGGATTGGAACCCAGAACCCTGTTGTACGAGAACCACTCTGTTTGGTACACAGTCTTTGAACTGAATGTTTTCGCTAAACACATTGTTTCTGAAAAAAATGGCAAAATGTGATCGAATGCATAACGAGATTCCTTCAAAATTGTATCGGGCTTATAATACAATTATCAAATAATTATCACATATTATCTCCTTAGATTTATTCAAAATAAAATTAAAAGTTCATTCTAGACGACTCGTAAAATCCGTTGGAAGTTTATCCTCGCAACACGTCCCTATATGCATAAAATGCTTCCACCCGTAAACGTAAAAATGTGCAATATTTGCACTTTGGCTGACTGCATTCGTTTTGTATAATTATTACTTAAAGATGCGGAAATTTGAAATTAATATAAGACCGCAGGTTTTCTAATTACTATTTTCAGGCGCGATACCAGGCTGGTGAAACCTGATTTTATAATAATTAATATCGATCAGTACTGATCGTGGTGGTTTGGGTTTAGTGGATTATAGTGACATCAGGCTCTCAAGTACTAGGGTAAGTAATAATTTTCCAACATGTAATAATTTCAACTGCAGTGCTTATTTGAAGACCTGTTATAGAAACTAGGCTAAAATCTAGTTTTACAATTATGGCAACTGACTCATATGCATCAATGGAATCGTTATTTAAAAAATTAAATGAAAATTCACAGAAGCTTTGAATAAAATAAGACTATTTATCAAATTCAGCCCAAAAGCACAGTGCAAGGTCCGCTGCAAGTGAAATCGATATGAGTAGGCTAATACCCTTGTCAAAACCGTGGTTCATGCACTGAAGCATAAAGCTGCCAACAAATTTAAATAGAAGAAGCAAAATTAGGAAGGTAACGGATATCCAAGCAGAACCCGATCAATGAGGAAGATATTTTTCAAATTAAGAGGCGATTCTATAAAAGCTTTGTGCCACCAAAGATGGCGATTCAATGTCCAGAAGATCAAAAATGCGTGTGACACACCGACGCTTCCCAAAGTGGAATAGGAGTAATTCGAAGTAACGAGGAAGTATAGGATCGGAAATTTTAGTTAATCCTCGGAGATAATTTATCGAGCATTATTTGTGAATGAGCACTAGCAAAACTGTGATGATGGTGCCCTTTTGCTTATGGTTCATGGAAGATACCAGCACAAATCAATCATCTAAACACAATCGATGTTCACTGAAAATAAGTGAAGCTTTTCGAAGATATAATGATTGGTGTATGAAGATACAGCTGAACGTAGCTGATCTCCTGGACAAGTTTAGAGCAGTTCGATAATGACTCCGCCTGAAACACATTACGCCTGAGCATCGACAGAATTAACAAAAACCGTGAGTTCGTTAAGAGGATACGACTTCATAGGATTAAATTTTCTCAGAAAGGTAAACCAAGGGTTGTACACGAAGGAAACCTGGCCCCATACAGAGTCGAGAATAAACTGACTTGGATGAGAATAAATAGCCCTTGAGGAAGGGGACAGTGTTATAAATCTTTCAAATTGGATAAATCGTGCACAATCTTGCAAAGCTGCCTGATGACTAGAAAATTTGCAACTGGAGTTTTACTAGCTGATGATTTGTGTGTCTAAAATAAAGATAAATCAATTTTGGTAGAGTAGACGCTCACATAGTAACAATATTCACCAAATACATAAAAATGTGGAAACCCGTAGCCTGCTCATTTTTTAAATTTCCATATCAGTGCGAAGAAGTAAAACTTTTTCGTAGGTTTTTTAATTTAGTGAGGAATCGACGAAACGAATCTATTTTAAATGATTTTAGATACGTCATGGGTACTTTATTTTTATTGCATTTTACTGTAACAGCCGATTTCTGAAAATAGAGGTCAACTGCCCATAGTTGAAACCTTCGATAACACATTACATATCCTCATAAAAATATATTTTTTAGTCATTATATTAATTTACGGTTCAAGCATTTTGCATGTTACCTACTTGAACCCAATAGACTTCACGGTTGGTTATTGTTTTTTTTTGCTAGTTTTTTTTTATAAAGATCAAGGTTTTTTTTCCACTTGCTTCCAATTTATGCAAAACAACATTAACTACAGGGAGTACCTATCTATCTACCTAGAATAGAGAGCAGGTATACGATACCAATTGAACTCTAAAAAACCCATAAAATCGCTATCGGTTTAAAAAGTATCTGGTTGCTACTTATTTTTATTTAATTACTTATATATTTTAAATTAGGTATATAACTCTTAAAACTGTTAATGTATGTAGGTATATATATATCAATTTATGATATTATGTAAAGTCGATGCAACGATATAAGAACTATCGTGAAAGTCAATAAATCATATGCCTATTTTACTGTATTATTCGGCCATGTGCTTATACCCCGGAAGCCCCTTATAAAAACAAACATAGCAGACTCTTAGAACCTGTGGTCTGAGTAAATGCCTGTTCAAGAAAAACATTCGAGAACTTTCGTTCGCTAAATGCCTAAAGTACTTTTTTCAGGATCTTTTCATTTCAAATTATGGATCCCAATCTGCTCCCAACTGTTCTGAGACCCTCATTACCGCCAAAACTACAAAAAATCAAGTACGGCAGCTATACAGAAAAAGACGCTGACTACCCAATTCATTTGTATTTGAAAGAAAATGATATAAGAATTCAAGAAGATGGTAGTGAAATCATTGAATTTTTGAGGGGGAAAAATGTATTGATTTCCGGCGCTACTGGATTTTTAGGTAAGATGGTCACCCTGTAGAATAAAGTAAATTTAAATATATGCTGTTTATTTGGCAGGCAAGCTTCTTCTAGAAAAGCTGCTAAGATGCTGCAAAGACATTGGAACAATCTATGTCATTATTAGAACAAAAAAAGGAGTAGATACTCAAAGTAGAACAGAAGATTTCCTTAATAACTGGGTAAAGACAGTATTGAATAATTCATCAAAATGCAGAAAATAATATTTATGGCTTTTAGGTATTTTACAAATTGTCTCAAATCCATCCCAACTACAAAGACAAAGTGGTAGGAATCAGTGGAGACTTTGATCTCGATGGACTAGGACTTTCGGATGAATCGAGGAAGATTTTGACAGAGAACGTAAGAAAAGTTTCCAAATACTTTCTGACAACATAACTCATATTCTGAAGCAATTCACAATAAATTCAAATTGCAAAATCATCCAGTTAGGGAGCTATTATCAGATTCATATTAGCCAATGTCACTATAAACCTATAGTTCTTCTATTATCGGACTTGGCATTATTTAGTGAGATTATATCGAAAACTATATTACATCGATTATATTCAAAATCCGCCTTTAAAATAATGCGTCAAATATCACTTCATTCATAGGTCTATTTTTTTATCCAGGTCAACATCATTTACCACGTAGCAGCCACAGTCCGATTTGATGAACCACTCAAAAGGGCTGTCAAAATCAACATCGAAGGATCTCAGCAAATGATTCAATTGGCCAAAAAATGCAAGAAACTGGACGTTCTTGTTTATGTGAGTACAGCGTATTCAAACTGCCAAGAAACGCTGATCAAAGAAGAATTTTATCCACCACATATAGATCCCTATAAGCTAATGATGATAGCTAAGGAGTTACCGGATATTGTTCTGGAAAAAATCACACCAGGGTAAGAACTTAGAGTGCTCACTGTTCTAAATCACTAGATATTTCAATAATTTTATTCCAGAATGTTGCAATCAATTCCTAACACCTACGCTTACACCAAACAGATAGCAGAAGATCTAGTTAAAAGAGAAGCCGTGGGATTACCTGCGTGTATTCAAAGGCCATCAATAGTAATAGCTTCCGCCAAAGAACCAATAAGATCATGGGTGGACAATATTTACGGACCCGTAGGCTTAATTGAAGGTGCTGCCATAGGCCTTCTACACATAATGCCTGTAAATGGTAACGCAATGGCCGATTGTGTACCTGCTGATTTCGTTATAAATAATTGTATAGCCGCTTCGTATAAAACTGCAAAAGAACGGTACGGTTTTTTTTTTAGTTTCTATCAATATCTGAGAGTTCTTTTTTTTTTAGAAAACTTGACCAAATTCCCATCTATAATTTCACGTCTTCAAGCTCAAATCCTCTACATTGGAAAGACTTATTTTTGACCACCAAGCAAGGTAAAAAAGTAGGCTCCACAATACTTATCAGTAAAGGATTCTTTAAGTTTACTACTTGCTGGACCTGGTACTATATTGTAAGCTTTCTACTTCACACCATACCGGCCGTTATAGTTGATTTTGTGCTGGAAAAGCTAATGGGGAAGAAGCCTTTGTATGTATTGTAATTTCTGGACAGAGCCGGGTAATACTTGAGTGAAGTGTAGTTTTTTCCTAACCCTTCAGATTTATTCTGAACGTATTCCGATTCCCTCGATTTTTCCAATGTTTCTCGGAGCTTCCCCTGTCAATCACCATATTTTTAAATCAGGAAAATATTCAAAGTTTATTATGTTGAAACTAAACTAAAAAAGCAGTTCTTTGCATTTGAACAATACACACGATTATAAATTACAATAAATTATTTCATTTTGATTGATAGGACTTCACTAAAGTATTTTGCCCATTAAATCTTTGAATCTAGCAAAAATTAACTCTATCAATAACATGTGAATTTTAGGCTTCGGAAAGCCTATGGAAAAATTGACAAATTCATTAACAGCTTAGTTCATTTCACACTGAACGAATGGAAGTTTGTTGATAGAAATACGCAATGCTTATGGGACGAACTTAACGATAGGGATAAAGCAAACTTCCCGTTTGATATAAAGGTCTTGGATTGGCAAGACTATTTTGACACGTCTTTGGCTGCAATGAGAGAGTTTCTAGTCAAAGATTTTTTGGATACTTTGGATGAAGGAAGAATGTTAATGTTGAAGTGAGTATAAAATAGGCTTTTGTCATAGTAATTGGAAAATACTTTACAAATACTCTTGGTACAAATCTCATTTATCTATGTTTTTATTACTTTTTTTTAGGTTGGACATATTGCACTACTCGTTGGTGACGCTCATACTAGGATTGTCAGTGTATTTCTTAGCAAACACCATATTCTTTTTTATTCCTTTATTGTTCGTCATTGTAACTATATTTTTTATCATCCCTTGAATGTTTTCTATTTTTATCTATTGTTAATATCTATTGGTAAGTTAATAAATATGTTTTAAATTCAAGGGTGAGCGCAAATTGTGCACTTTGTAGTGTAATCTACCCGGGTTCGTTCAGCAAGATTGAACGGTTTGAATAATTTGTTTTTTTTAACAAATCTTCTGAAAACGAAATGGAAAACAAATAGGACCTACGTTGACGAAACTTAATCAATTTTACTTACTTGATATGCGCCCGAGTCGTATATTACGTCTGTGTTCAAAACATAGGTATAACGTATTACACCATAAATGTCTAAAATTTAACTTTTCGGGCCTTACTCCCAGCATAACTTCGTCAAAATTGATTTCGTCCATCACACTTTGTTCAATAGACAAAACGGCCGAATTACTCAATCTTATGAAGCTCATGGTAGACCTCGAGTAATTTTTTATTAACTTCAGCTTTGAGAAGCTACGTTCACATGAAGCAACACTGATAGCTAGAGTTAAAAATATATATTCGAAGCATAATTACGATATTAGGTACGCAAATACCATAGTTGTATTGCTGAATAAATTCTAAAAGCTCCAGCGGTCCTTTTACGATGTTGTCTTGAGCTATAGCATCAGCCAAAGCAACGAAATTGCGCAACCTCTCCCTCTCGATTTCCATCCACATCGATATCACAGTGCTCTTCTTCGACCTTACACTTGTATTCTGGGTTCAGTAAGTTAGTTGGTGTGAGAAAAGAGTACTTGACATCCAGCTCGTTCAGTTGCTGAAATCTGGTCTTGATTTCTTGTATAATTCTGTCTCTCGATTCGAACATTTCTTGCCTTAACCGATTTTCATAAGTTAGTCCAGCATCAGCAGCCTTCTCGCCAGCCATAATTTTTAAATTTCTTATTCGTCGAAGAGTTATTTCGATGCCAAGATCTTCACATATATTTTTGGCATAATCAAATCCATCATTGACCAGAACATCTCGATTGTCCACTAGAAACGATTCTAAAGCTTGCAATTTTATAGCACATTGGTATCCTTTCGTCTAGAGATATAATTGTGCATCATTTATTTCACCGAGAACTCGACTCCATAGTCCAAGGAAGGCTAAAAATGATAGCGACTGGAGAGCATTAAGCAATAAACCAGCATCTGATCTTGTCGCTGCATTTTCCGCTGTGTTTCCTGCAAGTGATTCCAACACTTCAAGGATCTCAGCGTAATGGGTCTTCATGATAGATACGGCTTCATATCTAGAACTCCATTGTGTTTCAATTAGGCGCATGAATCCTTGACCTGTAACGCCGGTAAGAGCTTTCCAGCAGTGAGTAGAGGATGAAAAGTAATTGAAAACCTTCTCCATAGAACCAAAGAACGAAACTGAGTCCACTGCGATTGAAGCTGCGTGTACACCCACCAGATTCAATGAATGATTAGTGCATGCAACAAACTGGGCATTTTGATTAACTGCCTTGATACGCATTTGTACACCAGAATGTCTTCCCGACATGACAGCTGCATTATCATATGCCTGTCCACGGCAATTTTGGATATCCAGTTCATTCCTTTAAATTTTGTCTAAAATCATTTTAGAAATCTCCTCGGCGTTTTTGCATTGAGTTTCAACAAAGTCAATAAATGATTCAATCACTTGCACCTTGGTGCCGTCGAGTTTCACATAACGCAGTATTTGGCTCGTCTGGTCCTTGTGTGAGAAATCTGGCGTACTGTCGAACACAATAGTGAAATACTTTGCTTCCCTCACTTCAGCAAGTATTTTTGTTCGAACATGGTTCCCCAAACAATGAATGAATTCTTTTTGAATTTCAGGTGATAGGTAAGATAGAATAATTTTCTTCTGCATCTTCAGCATTGTAACGTGTTCACAAAGAACCGAATCGTACTTTCCATGAAGATGCACGAGTCCTAGAAAGTTGCCTCTATTTTCAGTGTCATTTTCATTCACCATTTCTCTATGACTTCGCAAAGTCAGGTTTTGTTTAGCAAGAAATCTGATGATGTCCAGTATCCTGACCAGTACTAGTCTCCACTTTCGCTCTTCTCATGGCAATCACATCTTGTGCTTCCTGGTCGATCGTTGCATCAACTTGAAGTCTTATCTCCAAAGATTTCGATTTATTGAAGTTATCAATATGTACTGAACTAGATTCATGTTCCGGAACTTTGGGATTTAGTTTCCGCCACTTTTTGAAAGCAATAATATTGCTGAATTCAGGCTTATCGCTGACGACCCCAAACAATCGGCAGCAGAAACAGAACAATGATTCCTTAGAAGTGGAATAGGCCATCCATGTTCTCAGAATCTTTTCGCCATTTGATAAAATTCTGAGAAACCAATCGCGGCTTGATTTTCTGGTTGCTGCTTTGGGCCCCTTGATAGAATCTACAGGGACTGGTCGAATTACTTCAGCAAACTTACAGTCAGAGTTCTGTACTACTTTGTAACCTTAAGTCACAAGTAGTGTTCGAAGATTATCGGGAATCGAAATAGGCCAATTTCCAATAGCTTTTCAATCGCTGATGGAACCATCCTGACCGTCAAGAGTATCGATCCCTTCAGAGCTTCCGTCTTCCACCAGAAATTCCGATTGCTCACCGACTACAGCTGTTTCATTAGGTAAATCTTCAGATTCGATAAGTCAGCTAGTAGAAGATGGAACAGCTTTTTGACTTGGAGTGGCACTAGTACTAGCTTCTGTAGAATCACGTTCACGTTCAGATTCAGCTCTTTGGGTAGTCAAATCAAAATACTTGAGTAAAGCTCCCTTATTCTTCTCATTTTCTTCCTCCCGGGATTTTTTTTTGCTATCAATTTAATCCTTCAAAAATCCCCTCAAATAACTACTAGCTTGACCATGTATCCCAAAAAATACTTGTAAAGTTCGGGACACATCTATCATGCATTCTTCCGATTCGACTCCGATCATACAATTAGGGTCCTTATTCTTGGACCAGGGAGAACGAACGTTCCGTCTTTCTCAATTATATGCAACTGATAATATGAGTAACGAAGGCGGAACACTCGTTCTTCTGAGAACGCTGCTCCCCTGTTCCAAGAATAAGGACCCTGATTGTATGATCTGAGTCGGATCAAGTTAGTGAGATGACTTCCATCTATGTTTATTCCCTTGTCTGACCAATTGAAAACGTTTTCCAACGCTAAAGTGAAAAGTTTTGGCGATATGGTATCACCTTGTCTCACTCCTTTTCCTAGGGGGATTTTGTTCGTCTTCATGTCATCATCGATCTTTATATGAAACGTTGCTTCTTCGTATATGTTCTTTAGGAGGAGGGAATAGCGTGAATCGATTCTGGCGTCATCCATTGCCTCAAGAAACGACCAGGGCTGGGATTCTGTAACGAATAGAGATATTTTCGTTATCTACATTGACGTCCCCTCTCTATTGATTTCGAAAAGAGAGAAGAAGACAGCAAGTACCATAGCGATATCGATAACGATCTCTATCCATTACAGAATTCCGCCTCTGGTCTCGATGCTATCAAAAGCTTTATGATAATCTACTAAAGCTATATGTAGGGGGATATTATATTCTGAAGTTTTTTCTATAAGTTATCTTATGGTCTGTAGGTGATCGGTGGTGGAAAATCCCTTGCGGAATCCCGCCTGTTCGACTGGTTGATAGGAATCGAGTTTTGTTGTTAAACGGTTCGTAATGATTCTCGTAAGTAGCTTATATAAATGAGAAAGCAGGCTAATAGGACGATAATTCTCTATATTCGTGTTATCTCCTTTTTTAAATAGAAGTGTCACTTCTGCATTTTCCCATATTTTTGGTATTTTTCCTTCTGAGAGGTATTTATTTAGTAGTGTTTTGATATGGTTCATAAGTTCGTTGCCACCCAATTTTAGCATCTCTACGGTTATGTGGACTTCCCCTGGAGATTTTCTATTTTTTAAATGTCTTAAAGCGTGTTTTAGTTCTGAAGACGTAATTTCGGGTATATCTTCTCAGCCCATGTTTAGAATTTTCCTCGGTTCTATATGTGGTTTTGGTACCGTAGACATATAGAGGTTTTTATAAAAGTGCTGAATTTCGTCCACAATGGATTTCTTATCGCTCACGAGTACTCCTTGTTGATTTTTGATGTTTATAATTCTTTGTTATCCGTTGGATGACTCGATTTTCAGTACTTTCATATTCTTGTTGGCTTCGATTGTTTCTATGATTTGTTTAGTTGTTTAAGTTCTCAGGTCTGTCCTTATCATTTTTTTCACTCTTGCATTCTTCTCGTAGTATTGTGGATCATGTCTGTTTAGCGTTCTCAAAGGGTTGGGGCATAAAAATTCAGTACAACGCGGGGTATTCTCCAGAGCAAAATGGGATTGCTGAGAGAAAAAATAGGTCGCTAGTTGTGATGGCTAGGTGTATGCTAATTGATGCGGATTTACCAAAGAAATTTTGGGGCGAAGCAATAGCAACAGCCAATTATCTGCAAAATCGACTACCTACCCAGTCGAAACAGAACACAGCTTTTGGGTTATGGCATAAAGTTAAATCTGACGTGTCGAATTTGCAAATATTTGGTTCTAAAGCTTACAGTCACATTCCAAAGCCACCAATTAAAAATAAATTTGATAAAACAATATAATGGTAGTGATCAAAGCTATCAACCACACTCAAAAATATCAATGAACTGCTTTCATCAATTACATTTTCATTGATTCAGTGAAATTTTCATTTATCCCAAGTACAGAAAACTGTAAGTATCATAATTTCATGAACAGCTATCATTAGAATAAAGAATGAAGCTTCAGTAAGTTATGAATAGTCATCTACATGAATCTATGTTGAATAGTACATCGGTTACACGAACTAAGTTCATTGATATTATGACATTAAACCTTGATATTAAAAAAAAAATTCTTTGATGGAGCTTCCACGGAATATTCATAATATAAATGAATATTATTATGAATAATATGAATATGGTTCATATAGCCTTACTAGAAACTTATCCTTTTAAAAATAAAATTGATTGATACAACGTAGGGTTCATTTAAAACAAGCAAATATTCCTAGAAACAAAGCTGTAACATTAGATCAAGATAAATCATAAATACAATGTAACAGTTCATGGCAATAATGTACACAGTTCCTAAGCACATGCGCAAAGGTAGCTGCAGTCGGGTGGCGACATAGAAAAATATGTTAAAATAAGAATGATTACATTTCTATTTTCTGGATGCATTGCTACGTACTTCGTTCTAGTCGGTTTTTTTCGGTCTTGTGTTGTTCGAGAAAGTCGGTTATACCTGTCGCCGGTTTTTTCTAAAAGGTAAGTTGTATGCCTCTATTACGTCTATAATATGTATACCTATTATGAAGGTAGGACTTTGATGCCTTGCACGGAGACGGTCTAGTCTCAAAATGGGAATGCGAAAGAAATGACCTACAGATTTTAATGTCATCCGGGGAGAACGTGAAAGACAAGAGCGTCAAGAGCTCCTCAGAATTTCTAAGGAATACTGAAGTCTCTAAAAGTAAGTATACCCAATCTCAAATCAACTTGTAATTTTTTTCATCGATATATTTTTGTTAAATGGGTCTGTTTCACTAGGTAGAAAAGCACAAGATTCAATGCCGCAGCTAGTGTTTCATAGCCGAGGCAAGGAAACCAGCCAAGGCATCAAATCTAATTTTCTGACGTGGCTTGTTTCACAAACTTTGGATGTTGATAGTTCAAAAACAGATGGAACAAACATGGACCTATTATATCTTTATGGAAACAGGATTTAAGGAGGATTTCAAAGATAGTACAATATACAGTTAGTGTCATTTAAAATAAAAATACAAAAGTACTTAGATTTTTGAATTTTCAGATTTTGGGATGCCCATTGGTTTGTTTGACAATTCTGGAAGATGATAAGAAGAGACCATGCAACTTTTGCATATAAAGCTTTTCTCCTATTGGTCATATTCATCAGTACCGGGGTCACGCAAATGTAAAAAATGACCCTGTACCCCATTTAAAATCATAAGTATATTTAAGGCATAATTCATGAAATTATTTTAATAAAAATAAAGAATAGGGTACATATTATTGAAAACGTCATTAATAAATACAATGAATGAAATTCCTAGTATTCAAGACTTTGATTCATAAATACAATGAAAGGGTTTCATCGAATTATATCTGGGCTTCATTAATTTTATGCCGTCTGTTCATCAGGCCAATGAAAAAGTGCATATAAACTAAGAACGATGTTTATTTTCACTATGGAAAGTTTCATTAATACAAAAACCTTGCCACATACTTCATTGTTCGTTGTTCATATACAAGATGAATCGAAATAGGAATTAAGAAATTGTTCTTCCTTCACTAACGTAGAGTTCATGTGATCAAAGAAGCAGTTTTTTGGACCGATTTTGATGAATTGTTCATTAAATCAAAGAACGACTTCTTTTTATTTATGCTACTATTTGGTTGAGTGCAAGCGAAGAAGAACCTGGCATGGATGACATGGGTGTTCGTAGTTGATCAAATAGAGTAAATAAAAGAGTTCCACTCGGGCGCTACATAGCAAAGTTAGTTGAACTACAAGAAATAGAGCCCAAAAACTGTAAGGAAGCTATTGCTAACAAAGATAGTGAAAAATGGATGAGAGCTATGCAACAAGAATTTAAATCATTAAAGTTTAACGAAACATGGAACTTAGTACAGCCGCCGAAGGGAAAGAAAATAGTATCAAGTAAATGGGTCTTCAAGCTAAAGACAAGTGAAGATAAAACTTCAAAGAAGTCTTAGGCACGACTGGTGGCGAGGTGTTTTAGCCAAAAATTTGGGGTTGATTACGACGAAGTATTCGCGCCTGTAGTGCGGCAAGCAAATTTCCGAACAATGTTAACACAGGCATGGAGTCAAGATCTTATAATAAGACATTTAGATGTAAAAACAGCTTTCTTAAATGGATAATTTACCGAGGATATTTATATGGTGCAACCTAACATTAGATATTGGATATTATAAACTAGACCGGCATAGTGATATATACCAACAATTGACCGGAGGATTGCTATGCATCGCAGTGAATACGAGAACAGATATATTGGCTAGTGTAACCATATTGAGTCAACACAATAATGATGCAGAGGAAGTTCATTGGAATCAAGCTAAAAGAGTGTTGAGATACTTGAAGAAGACAAAACATAAAAGACTCGTACAAGGAGAACTCAGTTGGCAAGGGTATAGTCGGAAACTTGTTAGACATTGCAGAAAATGTCAATGGCCTCGCCATCATTTTGCTTATTTAATTGGCGATAGAAATTCACTAGATGATAAGTTAATTTCCATAAATTTGGTTTTTGTATTAAATTATTCATAAAATTCGCAAAAAAAGTCTTATATTGCCTGGTCAATTCTAAAGATGCATCCATAGTTTTGATAATTCAAAGTGAACAAAAAATAGGTAAGTTCATTATATTTTTGTTTCCATGTTTAAATGTTATTTTAAGTTTGATTCTGTTGCCTGTCTGTTACATAGTCATAAGCATAAGGTGTAAAATTCCTGGAAGATAATATATTCACCAAATTTAATATAATTTGCGGCTTAGGCACTATTATAACGATGAAATATTTTCTTAGGCCCAGTACCTAACTCCTAAGAAAATATTGTATTTTTGTTTCGATTTGCTCGAATTTACTTCAATTGAGATACAGCGAAATGGAACAGAACTATTTCCAGATTGGTTCAGATGCACTAAAAGATTTTCCGATGGACAAGAAACAAGAGTGATGCAACTAAAACGAAAATATATTTTTTTGTCATAGTTTGAGTGGGTTTTCCTCATCGAGCTGAAACAGATTTAATTTCTATTGATGGTGGTGACTTAAGTCCCATCAGAGGGCAAGATGCTGATGACTTGAGGGATCTATACCTATGTGTATTATTGATTCTTACCCACATATGCTCGCATTGTACATAACTTGAAATCCTTCTATGTATATTTTTTATTCATACAATAAAAATGCTAAAATAATCATGGCACATACCAGTAACGTTCGCTGAATGCTTGAATTAACTTTTTCAGTTCAAAATATGGATTCCAACATCCTACCAACAGTTCTAAGAGCCTCACTCCCGCCAAAACTGGAAAAAATCAAATATGGCAGCTATACAGAAAATGACTATGATTACCCAATACATTTGTATTTGAGAGAAAACGATATAACAGTTCAGGAAGATGGTAGTGATATCATCGAATTTTTAAGGGGAAAAAATGTGTTGATTACCGGCGCCACTGGATTTTTAGGTAAGGATATCACATTGCAGAACCATTTAGTTTGAGTATAAGTTAATACTGAGGAGATTTAAAAATCTATATTTGGCAGGCAAGCTTCTTCTAGAAAAACTGCTAAGATGCTGCAAAGACATTGGAACAATCTACGTCATTATTAGGACAAAAAAAGGGGAAGATCCTCGAAGAAGACTGAAAGATTTTCTTAATAATTGGGTAGACGAGTTTCAATTCATTAATTAAAATACAAAAAAAAATACCTCTGCTTTTTAGGTATTTTATAAATTGTCGCAAATCCATACCAGCTATAAAGACAAAGTGGTTGGCATCAGTGGAGACTTCGATCTCGATGGACTAGGACTTTCGGATGATTCAAGAAAGATTTTAACAGAAAATGTAAGAAATATTATCATATCAGATTCATAATGGCCAATATTGTTGGGTGGCCATTTAGTGTGGTAGGTAGTCTCTACCATAACTTTGGAAATTAAGAAAAAAGTTGTTCATAAAAAATTTATATTATACTCGGTGTTTCACAAATCATGAGAGAAGGACCCTCTTCCAATTTACTTAGTCCATGATTGTTCCTGTATGGTGAACTGAAACCTGTCATAAAGAACCACTTTTTTCCTGTGGCAAGTTTGGGATGTGGCTCATTAATTAAGGCAGATGAAGATGTTGTTCGATAATCTCTTTTCGCCATTTTTTAATTTTTCAGAAACAATTTGAAACGTCAACAGAATCTAAAATTTAAAGGGCGTCACGATTCTTATCACAACGTGCTTTTGGACCAACCCCGGGTGGTCCTCCGGGAATGACATCGATTGCTTATGGGAAAACTGTGAAAGGTAAAAATTTGAAAATTTGGCAACATAGCAATGTCGATGGGGGACATCTAGGTAAAATATTTTCAAGATGGCGGCATTTCCGGTCATACCGGAAGTTGATACCAACTCGGTTATTTTAAATAGAACACCCCATATATTAATGTATTTTTGGATTCTACATAAAATTCTGAGCAGATTTCATGTAATATACCCTATACCTAAGTTCAACTGTTTTGGAAATATTGACAGTTGAAAATTGACTTTTTGCAACTTTGACAAGCTGTAAAACCTAATTGGTTAATTTTAGAGGAAAACCGATTTCACATTCCTATCTTAGATTTTGATAAACTATCATTTGACACCAACTTTGAACTTAAACGGAGATTAAATTTAACTGAAATTTTTAATCATGGATTTAATTCAAAGTTGATGTCAAATGATAGTTTATAAAAATCTAAGATAGGAATGTGAAATCGGTTTTCCTCTAAAATTAACCAATTAGGTTTTACAGCTTGTCAAAGTTGCAAAAAGTCAATTTTCAACTGTCAATATTTCCAAAACAGTTGAACTTAGGTATAGGGTATATTACATGAAATCTGCTCAGAATTTTATGTAGAATCCAAAAATACATTAATATATGGGGTGTTCTATTTAAAATAACCGAGTTGGTATCAACTTCCGGTATGACCGGAAATGCCGCCATCTTGAAAATATTTTACCTAGATGTCCCCCATCGACATTGCTATGTTGCCAAATTTTCAAATTTTTACCTTTCACAGTTTTCCCATAAGCAATCGATGTCATTCCCGAAGGACCACCCTGTATATATTCAAAAACAATTTCAGACTGTTCGTCTTTGAGCCTTGTATAGTCCCTATAGCTTTTATATGAGATATTATTAAAAAATTTCAATTTTAATAAATGCTGCTTAAGCACACTAAATAGCCACCTCAAAGACCCGTTAGGGAGGGAGCTCAAAGCTTTGTTTTTCTAGGTCAACATCATTTACCATGGAGCAGCTACAGTCCGTTTTGATGAACCTATCAAAAGAGCCGTCAAAATCAACATCGAAGGCTGTCAGCAACTAATTCAATTGGCCAGAGAATGCAAAAAACTTGACGTTTTTGTTCATATCAGTACAGCGTACTCAAACTGCCAAGAAATGCTGATCAAAGAAGAATTTTATCCACCACATATAGATCCCTACAAGTTAATGATGATGACTAAGGAGTTACCGGATGACATTTTAGAAAAAATCACGCCAGGGTCAGACCTTTATATCCATTTTTCATAGATCAATTTTTGAATAATTTTACTACAGAATGTTGCAGTCCATTCCTAACACCTACGCCTACACGAAACAGATAGCAGAAGATCTAGTAAAAAGAGAAGCTGTCGGATTACCTGCGTGTATTCAAAGACCGTCAATAGTAATAGCTTCAGCCAAAGAGCCAATAAGATCATGGGTAGACAATATTTACGGACCTGTAGGCTTAATTATAGGTGCTGCTATAGGCCTTGTACACATATCGCCTGTAAATCCTAATGGATTAGCCGATTGTGTACCAGCTGATTTTGTTATAAATAATTGTATAGCCGCTTCATATAAAACTGCTAGAGAACGGTAAGAATTTATGTTGTAATGTTTAAATGTTCATAAATATCTAAGATTTTTTTTTTAGAAAACTTGATCAAATTCCCATCTATAATGTTACTTCGTCAAACTCCAATCCTCTACGTTGGAAAGACTTGTTTTTGTCCACCAAGCAAGGTGCAAAAGTAGGCTCCAAATTTCTTCTCAGTAAAGGCTACCTTAAGTATACTACTTGCTGGACCTGGTACTATATTGTTAACTTCCTACTTCATACCATACCAGCCGTTATAGTTGATTTTGTACTGGAGCGACTGGGGAAGAAGCCTTTGTATGTATTGTAGCTTCTAAATAGAGTCGGGCAGTAACTTAAGTAAATTGTAGTCATCTATCATATTGTATATACTCACTTGAGAGTACCTACCTATAACTTCACACTTGAAACTCGCTTTTGAAACAGTCGACTGAAGAAAATTAGCGAAAAAAAATCTCCTATGCAGATACGATACGAGCTAGAGTCAATTAAATATTCCTATCTTCAATGATTCGTAATTTCAAAAAATATATCGTTTTTCATGACATGTGGCACATTCAAACCCTATTGATCAGTTAAAAGACCAAAATTGCATTATATACTTTTTTTCAGATTTTTTATCTATTCATGGAACTTTTGGAAATCGTCAAAAATTAACTTTTTTCTTAGTTTTACTGCTTCGAGACAGTACCCACTAGATTAATTCTTTCTCACTTCCATTGGAAATAAAAATATAATTTTTCCCTCTGTCAAGACCGTAGGCCTTTTCGGAAATAGCTGTTTGTGTTTTACCATTTTTTTTAATAAACACGATTGACAAAGACAAAGTACATCAGCTGGTGATCAAGCCAATCAGATCAGCGTTTCCAGAAAGGCCTCTTGTAAATGTTTATAAATCTCTTCAGCAGATACCAATATACAAGATTATAGGTTACATTCAGGTATTTCCCTTCGATTGACAGGACTTTACTAAAGTACCCTTGCCCATTAAACCTCTGATTCCAGTAAAAATTCACTATACCAATAACTTGTAAATTTCAGGCTGCGCAAAGCCTATGGGAAAATTGACAAATTCATCAACAGTTTGGCTCATTTCACTTTGAACGAGTGGAAGTTTATTGATGAAAATGCGCAAAGCTTATGGAACGAGCTGAATGATACAGATAAAGGTATCTTTCCGTTTGATATGAAGGTCTTGAAGTGGGAAGAATATTTTGATACGTATTTTGCCGCATTGAGAGAGTTTATTCTCAAAGATTTTTTCGATACTTTAGATGAAGGAAGAATTTTGATGTTGAAGTGAGTACAAAATAGGTTTGTTTTTGTTTTATTAAGAATTGAAGTTTTTTTTTTCTAAAAGATAGATACTTACATTATACGGGTCAGCAGAGTTTCAAAATACTCTTGGAACCAAAATCATTTATCTATGCTTGAATATATAATTACTTTTTTTTAGGTTGGACATAATCCACTACACGTTTGTGACCCTTTTAATCGGGTTGTCAGTGTATTTCCTAGCAAAGACAATATTCTGTTTCATTCCTTTATTGTTCATCAGTGTAACTGTATTTTATCTTATTCCTTGAATGTGTTCTACCTTATTTTTATTTGTTGTGAGTCGATAAGGATGTTTTTTAATTTAAGTCTCTCATTTAACTGCTTACCAAATTGTGCATAAAAACAATAAATTCCTACCTACTCCCAAATTATAGACCACTGGATCCTAATCCTGTAATCCTAAAGACATAACATAATATTTATATAAGGAAAAAAAATAAATAAAATTAAAAAATTGAAAAAAAAAATATACAGGGTGGGGACTTTAACTGGAACTAATTCGCTAGAACCTTCGGATAAAATATGCGGACAAAACGCAAAAACACGTCGATTCAGATTTTTAGCTTAAGATTTTTTCACATTAATTTTTTTATACAGGGTGTTCCTAGAACAGCTGTATGGTTATCAACTTTATTTTTTTAAATGGTAGCCCCTGTATATTATGACATTTCTGGATTCTGTGGAAAATTCTAGACATATTTCATGTACAATGTCATATACCTATCTCCAACTGTTTCGGAAATATTGACAGTTAAAAATGGACCTTTTTGCATCTTTGACAGCCTGTAAAACCTGAACGGTTAATTGTACAGCAAAACGGATCATACATTCTTATCTTAGTTTTTCATAAAGTAGCATTTGACACCAACTTTGAATTTAATCCATGATTAAAAATTACGCTCGAATTATTAATCTCAGGTTAAATTCAAAGTTGGTGTCAAATGATAGCTTATGAAAATCTACGATAAGAATGTAAAATCGGTTTTGCTGTAAAATCAACCGTCTAGGTTTTACAGTCTGTCAAATATGCAAAAAGGTCAATTTTCAACTGTCAATATTTCCGAAACAGTTGCAGATAGGTATATGACATTGTACATGAAATATGTCTAGAATTTTCCACAGAATCCAGAAATGTCATAATATACAGGGGCGGCCATTTATAAAAATTAAGTTGAGAACCATACAGCTGTTCTTGGAACACCCTGTATAAAAAAATTAATGTGAAAAAATCTTAAGCAAAAAATCTTAATCGACGTGTTTTTGCATTTTGTCGACATATTTTATCCGAAGGCTCTAGCGAATTAGTTCCAGTTAAAGTCCCCACCCTGTATATATACGGGTGTCCCACGGTGGATGGCGTATTAGACGTTTATGGAGAACTAAAAAGCGGATCATTTTGAAAATGTGGCAACCGGGATAAACGACCATGATCTACACTTTAAAAATATTTTTGACCATGCGGTGTTGCCGCTTCTACTCTAAACTAGTGGCAACATTACTATTTTAAATGGACCACCCCGTATTTAATTGCATATTTGGATTCTACGTAAAATTCTGAGCAGATTTCATGTGATATACCCTATACCTAAGTTCAACTGTTTTGGAAATATTGACAGTTCAAAATTGACTTTTTGCAACTTTGACAGGCTGTAAAACCTAATTGGTTAATTTTAGAGGAAAACCGATTTCACATTCCTATCTTACATTTTGATAAACTATCATTTAACACCAACTTTGAACTTAACCAGAGATTAAATTTAACTGAATTTTTCAATCATGGATTTAATTCTAAGTTGGTGTCAAATGATAGTTTATAAAAATCTAAGATGGGAGGAATGTAAAATCGGTTTTCCTCTTAAATTAACCGTTCAGGTTCCACAGCCTGTCAAAGTTGCAAAAAGTCAATTTTTAACTGTCAATATTTCCAAAACAGTTGAACTTAGGTATAGGGTATATCACATGAAATCTGCTTAGAATTTTACGTAGAATCCAAATATGCAATTTAATACGGGGTGTTCCATTTAAAATAGTGATGTTGCCACTAGTTTAGAGTAGAAGCGGCAACACCGCATGGTCCAAAATATTTTTAAAGTGTAGATTATGGTCGTTTATCCCGGTTGCCAAATTTTCAAAATGATCCGCTTTTTAGTTTTCCATAAACGTCTAATACGCCATCCACCGTGGGACACCCTGTATATATATAAGTAGGTATGTATGTATAAATAATATTATGCATAATAATTGTGGCCTGTGTTGTTTGGAATTTCATAATTCTTGTGATATTGTTGGAAAGGCATACTTTTGGAATTTTTCTAGGGTTTTTGTAATAATTTAATTAATTTATTTTCAAGTACTTTGTTAAGTTAATTAGAAAGTAATATCAACCGCTGACATATACCTCAAATGTTAAATAAATGAAGCAAATTGATGTACATACAGTATTTTAAATACCATCGTACACCAAAAACTTTTAGCAGTAATGAGATATGTACTTATAGCATCTTTTAGAATAATTATTTATTGTCAACAAATTGAAAATTGTAAATTATTAAGTATTTATGCCATATAAATAAATAAATAAATAAATTTTTTTTGTTACCTATACTCGCGAGTCGCGAGTGTGATGTAAAATGGCAAAAATGAAGAACATTAGAAAAACAAACAACAAAACACCGAAAAGAAATAACTTTTAGTTTTCAAGTTCAAATAATGACCTGAATGCGACTTTGACCCTTTGACTAGAATATGGAAATGAATTGAAAATCCATCTAATAGAAAATAATATTGAATGATGTAATTGTGACAAGGCAATTTTTGATTGTAATTTATTGTGTCAAGTTTAAGCATAGGATGTTAATTTACTGTGTTATAACATACCCGGATTCGTTCAGCAGGATTGAACGGTGTGAATTTTTATTACCTTTTAGACAACAAATCTTCTGAAAAACGGCATGAAAAACAAATAGGACCTACGTTGTGGAAACTTACTTGATTTCCATACGCATTCCACCAAAATGTCTGATAAACATAAGGTTCAAAATTGAACAGCAAATTTGAAGGCCATGCGTGCTGTAGAGCTCGCGCAGTTTTGCGTTTATGCATTAGAAATTACAAATTTTGCGTATGTTCCAAATCAGTAGGACCATCGCTGCAATCGAAGGTAGATCGCTTTTGATATCATTTCAAGGTTCAAACACATCTCAAATCGACTAATGGGGGATCCTACAACCTTTTTGGAGATGTATAAACTGCTTTCTGAGCAAAATAGTAAGCAGACTGAAAAGCTATCAGCGCAAATACAAAGCTGTGAATATAATGTTACCAAGCAACTAAAAAAATCGGTCTAAAAAATAGAGGAGATTCAGAAGAGAAACGTAGAATTAGATAGGAAAATTCGAAAAAATAATATTCTTCTACACGGTCTTAAAAGCACAGAATGAGAGCGATCTGGTCAACGAGGCAACTCATAAACTGAAAGAACTTCTCGCCACCAACTTCAAAACAGAGGATATAAACAATATTTACAGACTCTGAAAAACAGCAACTGCTCCAGTCCTCATTGAGTTTCTATCCTTCCTGAAAAAATCGGAGCTGTTCAAAAATCCTCAAAAACTAACAGATTTGAAAGATACAGATGACGCCATTTCAAACGAATTATGTGAGGAGGATAGAAAAGAACTGATAATCCTAAGAAAGTACCTTAAAAAAGCCAAAGAAGAAAATAGAGAGGCCAAGATCAAAGGATTAAAATTGGAAATAGACAGCAAAAGATCTCGAACAATCGTATTCCAACTCTGAGAGCAGTGACTCCGAGTACTCTGAGCCTTCAACAGAGGAAGAAGACACCTAGTCCACCGGGAAAAAACACGAGATTCAAAAAAAAGCGTTAAAGAATAGACATAATAAGTTATAAAGTATCTCTGAGTATTGTTGCAGCTCAAACCTCGGGATTTATCTGTTTGAGTGATATAAATATAGATCAACTAGACCTTTCTCTGTGCGGAACCAAAACATTTTTGAAATCTTTGATATGACACAGATTGTAAATGAGCCAACTCGAGTAACTAACTCATCCAAAAAATTGCTTGATATTATCGGTTGATCTAATAATAAGTCAATCAAGTCCTCAGGGGTTCAAAGGTCAAAGGTTGTAGACCATTGTTTAATATACTGTGCTTTAACGTTGAAAAACCCACAGATTGACCCATTCATGTATACCTTTAGAGATTTTAGGTCTTTTGATCAAGCACTATTTGACACAGACCTACGAAATATTGACTGTTCTCCAATTTTCTTGGAAACTGATATTGACGTGAATTTTAATCAAATAATTTTGAGTTTGTTTTGTAATCATGCGCCAATTAAAACCGTGAAAGTAACAAAACCGGCGGCACCATGGCTAACAGACAACATAAGGCTTTTAATTGCACAAAAAGACAAAGCTCTATCAAGATTTCCAAAAAAAAAAAATCCGGCTACTTTCGATTTCAATAAAACACTAATGAATTACGAAGTTGAACATTTATTATTATTATTATATATATATTATTATGAAGTTGGACATTTATTCTAGGGTCAAACCCGCTATTCCATTCCCAGCGAGTTGAACAACCCAAAAGATGTCAACAACTTTTTTATAAATGTCTCAACTTAAGGGTAAGCACATAGTGGAGCGACGAGCAAAGTAGTGAGCAGTGAGGAGAGCAAAGCAGCAAAAACTAACACACGAGATCAAATTGTTTGACACATAGTGAAGAGCAATGCGGAGATTTAGCAGCGCTGTTAATATCGAGCAAAGCGACGCGTTCAAGCAAGTTTGATTTTTCTACTTTGCTCGTTGGTCTCTGTGTTGTAAAGATAGACGTTGAACAATTAATAAGTAGTATTTTTGTTAAAAATCCATTGTGCAACCAAAGATGAAATACCCAACATCATAACCGATATATATTAGATAAGTTGTGGGATGATGTAGCAAGAAAAATGAAATCAACAATCAAGTGAAAAATAAATTATATTATTAATTGATTGCTGCTGGACCAATTGGGATTATGGTAAAGTTAGTCCATTTTTTCACCAATCTTTGTTCTATTTTCTCCAAAATGTAATCAAAAGTTTTAATAATCATTAAAAGATAAGAGTGAAATTTTTCTGGATGTTTCCGTAATTCCTCATATAAATGGTGATATTCGCCTAATCGAAGTTTGCTTCTGTTTATATGGTGTGCACTACACCTTCTTTTTTTCTTTCTGTCTTCTCATTAAATACCAAAATTTTTAAAGACGACGTTTGGGTTAAAACCAAATTATTCATTTTTAACTTTTTTACTCGAGTAATAACTCGCTACTATGTGCATACAATTCTTTCATCCACTCTCTGCTCAATTGACGCTCTGCTCTCCGCGCTGCCCGCTGCTCTGCTCGCCGCTCCACTATGTGCTTAGCCTAGCTAGAAAGTACCCCGCGTGCAGAGATTTAATTGAACATTTTTTGGGTAGCGAATTGAATAATGTTCTACCCGAATTTATAACTCTCTGACCTCTGAGAATGATATTTTCAATAATCTGTTATCCATTAAGTCTAGGGCAGTAGATGTTAATCAAATAAGTGTTGAAATGTTATTAAGATGCTGCCCAAGTATTCTCTCTGTGTTGAAACATATTTTCGATTTTTGCATTTTATTTAGCGTTTACCCCAGTATCTCGAAAAAGGCCAGTGTGATCCCTCTCCCCAAAAAGGTAAGTCCCGAAAAACTTGAAGATCCGCGACTAATAAGTATCCATAGAGAAATATAATAAACCAAGGTGAGAGTTACCGATTCTGTGGTACGACACTGGCAACGCGATGACGTCAGATCGATACTAGCCCCACCGTACACTACAAGACTAACTTAAATAATATTTGGCGGGCTTTTTGAACTTTTAAATTATAGTTTTGTTATTTCTGAAGGTAGAAATTTAACTCCGCTGTCGACAGAAAAAAAATTGCGGAAAAACGCTGGCCTGGAAACAAAAATAAATACGGTTAATCGCTTAAAATTGGCTCATATATTTTCATCTTTCGAAATTAACAAAGAACATATACGTATACAAATAAAATAAATATACATAAACAACGTAAATAAAGAAATAATAAAAATTAAATTATACCTACTTATACCGCAAGATAACAACAAAAAAAAGCAAAAAAAGCCAAAACATCTCACTTTCTACTAATAATAGGTTACTATTTAATAATTATCATTACTTATGTATAAACTGAGCCATTTTCACATTGTATATCTCGTAAATCTTACCAGAATCATGCATTTTTAAATCAACTGATAAATTGAGATTTAGGTTGACTAATTTGTGTCCAAAATGTTTTTGTCAGTTTTAAACATGTCATTGTACAATAATTAAAAAATCCTTTGTCCTCTTTTCCTTTATTATCGCATCTGTTAAAAAGAGATAGATATGAGAATGGAAGGTGATGTCAGAACTGTCAGATAGTTCCAAGCTATGCTAGCAACACCATGTGCTACAAGAACCAACTAGAAATACGTTGCCACTTCGCGCATATGAATCGGTAACTCTTACCTTGGTTTATTATATTTCTCTATGTAAGTATCCTTTGTGCACTGTCAAAAGTTTTCGAGAAGGTTATCGAGGAGCAAATCCGAGTTTTTGTAAGTGCACATTTTACCTGAGTGTCAATCAGGCTTTAGAAAACATCATAGCTGCACAACAGCTATGGCAAAGGTTACTGATATCCTGAAGGGTATAGATGACAGCAAGCTGACAGCATAGATAGCTGACAGTCAGGATTGATTATTCCAAGGCCTTTGACAGGATTAACCAAACCACATAGAAAAGGGATTTAAAATTCTTAAATAGAACATTTACGCCCGAATGCACCGCTTGTTGATTCTAATCCTAGTTCCCCAATCCCGTTTTTGAAAATTTGGGCCTATAGCTATGCACCGTCAACGGATTAACTAATTCGAAGTGGAAGTTTGGCAACGTTGGCATCCCAAGAGTTTTTGTCACTTTTCAAGTGAATTAACGTTAGAATATTGTCAGTTGTCAGTTTCGAATTTCAATTTTTACTTGATTTTTATTCTTATTTTCTGAAGATATTCAAAATATT